TTGTTACAAGTCTAAAATTTATAATAAAAAACACATACGGGGAACCGCCCGCTTCTTCAAAAAAAAAAAAAAAAAAAGATATATTCTTTAATAAAAAAATAAATTGATACTTTTCTTTTTTCTTCTTGAACTGGTTTCATTTTTTTAAAAAATTAAAAAAAATTATTATTTCAATCTAGCAATAAGCTAACTTTATTATTGATTATTTTAAAAATAGTTGAAGAAAAAGGTCTTAAAACTATTTATTGCTTAAATAAACCTTATACAAGTTTCATCTTAATTCAGTAATAAGCCAATCTAGTAATGCTTATTTTAAAAAGATATTTGACTATAAGATCAGTTATAGCAACAAAAACATAAAACTGATTAGACAATAAGTATTAGCTATAGGTTTACTTTAAATGTTCTTGAGTGACACTTGGGTGAATAGAAATTAAATGCTTAGTTCAATTACAGGTGATAATAAAGAAAGTAATTCTTAATAAATCATAGTATGAATTTCTGTAATCACTTTATTTATCAAAAATAAATATTATTTTCAGTTTGTCTATTTTTTTCTTTTTAATACATCCCCTAAATAAAGCTTGATTAGATTTTCAAACAGTTAATAAAGTCAAATTGGAATCTTGGCATGTTAACTCAAGCCTCTGTCTTCAGATAAGCTGATAACAACAAGTTGATATGTTATAATAACATAGACTAACCTTAGATATAGCTTTATTCATACATATTAAACTCTGTACAATACATACTTAATGAATGTATAAAGTGTCAAACCGTAAATAAAGCAAGGTCTCAACTGATATTTTTAAAAAAAAAGATAACAATATAAAATATTTGCAATAACTTTATTCAAGTTCAATATTTATAATTTTGATTAGTAAACTAAATACTTTTTCTAGTTTAATCAAAAAAGCAATTTTATACAATATAACAAACATAACTATGATTTTTTTAACTACATCTGCCATAGAAAGAATACCAAATGAGGAATATTATTATAAAGATTAATATCAGTCATTTCAATTATCTAAAAAAAAACGAGATATAGTGTAACAGGAAATAATACATTAAATAAACCAAAGTAATTACGTTATAGACTTAATCAAAATGGTTGTTAATATTCTATATTTATTGTTAAATTCAGTTATTATAAATAGTTATTTTTTGGTAAATATTCTATACTAAACAAGATCAGCGAATCAGATAATTAAAATTCCTCTTTCTCAACCCTAAACAAGATCACAACACATCAGTACGTGCATATTTGCATATTCGTTCAGATGCCTAAACGTCGCTTTTTTATGGGTGTTCCGGGTTCTCTTTTGCCAGGAATTACAATACGTGAACTTTTAGGAGCTGAAGCCGATTGACGTTGAAGTTCTTTCGCCTCTGCTTCTTCCTTCTCACGTGCTGTCTTAAGTTG